TGAATGAAGAGGTGATGGAAAGAAAGGAAAGATTGAGAAACAAACTGAGTTTTTGTTTGTTTTTGTTTTATTCTTTTTTTGTTTTGGACTTTGTTTGTTTCTTAATTAATCTTTTACTTTTTATTTTATTTTTATTTCTTTTTAAGTTCCTTTGGGGGATACTATGTAAGACTGAAGGGCAGATACAGAAGAACTGGAAAACGAATGGATTGGGGTGCATGGTATACAATTCCCAAAAAATCAAAAAAATGTTTAAAAGCAAAGAAAACCCTTCAGTTTATATAATTAAATTAGAATACTTCATTAGATACTATATTTTTATCTTAATTTACAAAAAGCAACATAATAAGAATTCTATTCATATTCTTTTTCCCATGGGGAACTTGGTACAGACTTTATACATACTAGATTGTGTCTGTATGAATTCTATGTTTTTTTACTGATTTTATTGTCAAATATTATGTATTTTAACAGAACTTGTATAGAACTGCTAGCATATTTTAATTTTTGTATTTATTTAGTTTTCATTTTCTTTTTATATCCCATCCACAGTCTCCCCTCCCTTCTCTCCTCCAAGCCCTCCCTTCCTCCCATTCCCCCATCTACTCCTCCTCCATTTCTCTTCAAAATATGACAGGCCTCCCATGAATATCAGGCAGTTACAGTATATCAAGTTGTAGTAAGACTAGGCACTTCCTCTTCTACTAAAACTGGATGAGGCAACCCAGTAGGGACCCAAAAACGGGCAACAGAGTCAGAAACAGCCCCTGTTCCCACTATTAGGCATCCTACAAAAACACCAAGTGACACAACTGTCACTTACATACAGAGTGCCTGGATCAGTCCCATGCAGGCTCCCTGGTTGTCAGTTCAGTCTCCGTGAGCCTGTATAAGCCCGAGATAGTTGATTTTGTGGGTTTTCTTGTGATGGCCTTGACATCTATGGCTTCTACAATCCTTCCCTTCTTCTACAGGATTCCCTGATCTCTGCATGTTCGATGTGGGTTTCTGCATCTGTTTCTATCAGTTACTGGATAAAACCTCTATGATGACCATTGGACGAGACACCAATCTATGAGTACAGCAGAATATCATTAGAAATCATTTAATTGAGTTTTTCCTTTTCTTCCTTTTTTTTCCAGTCATGTTTGGTTCTATCCTAGGCCTCTAGGCCTTCCTACCTCTGGGTCCTAGCCTTTCAGGCAGTATCAGGTATGGGCTCCCTCTCATGGTATGGGTCTAGAGCTGGATCAGACATTGGTTGGCCACTCCCACAATTTCTATGTCACCTTCACCTCCAACGCATGTTGTAGTAGGACAAATTGTAGGTTGATGGTTTTGTGACCAGGCTGGTGTCCCAATCCTCCACTGAAAATATTGCCTGGTTACAGGAGATGGCTGATTCAGGCACTGTATCTCCCATTGCTAGGAGTCTTTGTTAGGGTCAGCCTCATAGAGTCCCAAGAGTTTCCATTCTACTGGGTTTCTAGCTCCTCCCAGAGATACCCCAGTTCCAGTTCCAGTTGCCTCTCCTAATACACTCTCTCTCTATCCTCCTGCCACCTGATCCCTTCTGTTCCCTTCCAAACCTCCTTTCCAGACCACCCTATCCACTGGTGATGTCTATTCTATTTCCCACTCACAATGAGATTTATGCATCCCTCCTTAAGCTTGTTACGTAGCTTCTATGGGTCTGTAGACTGTAGCCTGGTTATTCTTTATTTTACAGTTAATATTCACTTATTAATTAGTGCATACCATGTTTGTCTTTCAAGGTCTGGGTTATCTTATTCATGATGATCTTTTCTAGTTTTATCCATTTGCTAACAAAATTCATGATGTCGTTGTTTTTAACAACTAAGTAATGCTCCACTGTGTAAATTCACCACATTTTCCTTATCCATTCTTCACTAGATTGTTTCTAGTTCCTGGCTATTGTGAATAAATCTGCTACAAACATAGTTAAGCAAGTATTATTTAGATATATCTGTATTTTTGATGTTTTTATATAAGGCTGGAAATTGTTTCAAGATCTGTGTTAGAATATTGATAGGTATTGCATTCAACTTGTAAATTGCTTTTGTTATGATGACCATTAGTACTACTTTTATCCTACAAATGCATGGTCACCAGGAATCTTCCTATCGTCTGATATCTTCTTTGATTTCTTTCTTCAATGCCTTAAATTTTTTATCATGTAAGTCTTTCACTTGCTTGGTTAGAATTATCCCAAAATATCTTATATTACTTGAGGTTATTGTGAAAAATATTATTTTCTGATTTCTTTTTTTGTTAATGAAAATAAGCATTATTACATCAAGTAATAAATACAAAGATGCAACACTTGCAGTTGTTTTCTTCCAGATGTTGTGACAGTCTCACAGTAAACATGGAACTGAGACCCACAATCTCAGGATGGACATTTGCAGGGCGTGTGGCAGGTTGGGTAGTGTAAAATGAACTAACATGAATGGTCCTGTTTGTTGTGGTTTCTGTCCTGCCCGGTACCCTCTAGCTGTTTAGTCCCAGAGAAAAATCACACATAGGTCTCTATAAGTTATAAAGCTGTTTGGCCCATTAGCTCTAGCTTCTCACTGGCTATCTCTCACATCTTGATTAACCCATTTTTCTTATCTATGTTAGCCATGTGGCTCAGTACCTTTTTTCTGTGGGGCAGATCAGATCCTGCTGCTCCGGTGGTCTGGGCAGGAGTGTGAGGAATCAACTTCTTCCTTCCCAGAATTCTCCTGTTCTCATTACATCATTTCTACTTCCTGTCTGGTTTTCCCACCTATATTTCCTGCCTGGCCAATCAGCTTTTATTTATAACATGATTGACAGATTACAGACAGTTCTCCCACACCAGGGTAGATTGTTCTTTCTTCTGTATTTATAACGTGTGCATGTTTAAGATTGACTTCAAAGCACCCAGTCATGCAAAGGCTTAAGCAGAGCATCTCTGTGAAGCAGGGTCTGCACTGCCCACAGGTAGGCCAGCTACAAGGCAGATGTGCTGTGTTCTGCACTCAAGTCCTCAGAGGCAGGTGATCGCATGGAATGGAAGTCAACTGGGGTGAGGCAAATGGCAAGTGTACCCAAAGGGAGATTTTAAAGGGGACACTGGTATTTGGGGGCAAACAATAGCTTGCTATGAAGTGGCTTCACAAACATCTTTCAAATCAATGCTTGGAAAGAAAAAAAGAGCTGCATCGTTTCTAACTACTTAGAATGCACACCGTCAGTAACTGCAAAATGTCTTCCCCGTCTTCTGAATGTGGGTTCAGAGCTTAATGACCATGGCAGGAAAACCACTGCCAGTTTGAACAAAGCCTCTCATCTCCACGGGGTAGCGAGATGGGCTTTCAGACTGGCCAGGGGCTAGGACCTGGCATTACGTTTGGCCAAGCACTCCCAAACCAGGCTTTGGGCTTGAATGATGCCTCGTTTTAGTCTCTCCATGGCGTTCTTGCTCCCTGCATACGTGGGTCTGATCTCTTTCCCCAACTCTTCAATGATGGCCAGCAGCTCTGCGTATTTACTCCGAGGCACCTGGCTATTTCCAGTTCCCTGGAAATAGTGATGGTGGCCCATAGTCTACTCAGTAGCTAGCGAAACTGGGAGGATGTCGCCATACTATAGAAGGCGAGCAGACGCTTCCGGCGTTGAGGGCGGCGGCGGGCATGTGCGCAGTCAAGTTCAGCTTGTATGATGTCCCTGCGAGCCGCGGGCGCGCCAGGGCAGAGCCAGACCAGACCGCGAGCATGGAGGCGAGGCCGAGGCAGAGGCCACGGGCCAGGCGACCCCGCGTTCCCGCACCCTTCGGAGTGCCCAGTGGGTTTTCTGATTTCTTTACCAGTCCATTTTTCATTTGTATATAGTAAGGCTAAAAATTTTGTGAGTTAATTTTATATACAGCTACGTTAGTGAAAGTATTTATCAGCTGTAGGTGTTTCCTGTGAAATTTTTGGGTTCATTTATGGATACTATTGTATCATCAGCAAATAAAGATACTTTGACTTTTTTCTTCTAATTTGTATACACTTGATCTCCTTTACTTTAGCTAAGAGTTCAAGTACTGTATTGAATAAATACCGAGTGGAAAATCTTTCACAGATGTTTCCTGAGACCGTTGGACACCATAGATGTTTGCATTACAATTCATAACAGTGGCAAAATCATAGTTAGGAAATAACAACAAAGAGAATTTTATGGTTGGGAGTCACCCCAACTTGGCAAACTGTATTAAGGGTCCATAGTATTAGAAAGGTTGAGAACCGCTGCTCTATCATATTCATAAAAAGTCTCTTAAAAGTTATTTGTTTTGTGCTTCTGCTTAATTGCAGAACTGCTATGGTAGGGTTTTAGGGCTCTAAGATAGACGCATCACTCCCAGGTATTATTGATTGTGCTTTTACATTGGCATTTAGGAGGGCAGAGAGGACAAAGCTGGAATTATAGGTGGCTGTGGGCCACTGGCTGCAGGTGCTGGAAACTGGAATTGGGTTTTGTGCTAAAGTCATTTCTTCAGCTATTTAAACTATACACAAGTTTAGGGATTCGGCAATAAAAATGTCTGTCCATTATATTTAAGTTCTTTATTTCCAGTTTCAAAACCTATAGGGAAAATGTGAAAGCCAGAGAATTAAGTAGTGGATTAATCAAGTGGTTATTTTGTAAAGTGTGGGAGTATATGCTTTTTTTCTCCTTTGCTTGTCAATGTAATGAATTATAATTTAAATTTTCCTGTAACTAAAACACATTCTATTTGTCATGATTATCCATCTGAATATTAGAAACACTCTACTTGATTTATATCTGATTTGCTATGCTTTATCAAAATCCTATATTAGGTTTCAAGATGGGAGAAGCATGTGACATTATTTTCTACCATGTCAGTCAATGTTCATTAGGAAAACTATATAAAGTAGAATGTAGCCTCTTTCTTACTCATAAAAATGAAGGAAATCTCATCAGTTGACTTATCTTCTGTGCATTTTTAGGTAGATGATTTGAAGAGAGTGTTTGACCAATATTCCTGGAAGCAGAAAAATTTTGAGCAGCAGTACATGGAGTCACTGAATAATTATTATTCCGTGGTGAGTAGACTATTCCTGCATTCCCACAGAGCACTACACACTCTACTTAGTTAGCAACTTGAATGATTCAAACTAATTTATTAACATTGAAAACTTAACTTTCAATTGAAATGGCATAAATGACCGGCAACTAGAATTAACCAGGCTAGCTTTAATATAAAATATTCAGCTTTAATAAGGGTAAGAAAAGGGGGACTTACAAAGCCAGAGTTCCCATGAAGCACAGAAAAAACAAAGAGAGCACGGGGAGCACACCCTCAATATTTATAAGTAAATATTAGCCTAAGGGGATCACACCCTACAAACAAGGTGATTGGTTGGGCTTCCCCTTCATTCAATTACTAAAAATGTATAAATATCTTGTATTCTATTTTATCAAGAGAAAAGCATGGGATATTGAGCTTTCTGATATTTCAAAAGACTACACTGATGTTTCAACAAAATATCTGGCATTGTTAGAAGAAAACAAAAGACTCCAAGCTGAAATTGACACCCTCACAGAGGAAATCACAAGCAGGTAATTCAGAACTTATTATTGCTATATAGCTTTTCCAAAAAGTGATCTGTAATAAACCCTTCCACCATGAGTCCCTGGGGTGATATAAGCATATTCATGTTTAATATTGCTTTAACTTAACTTAAATCTTCTACAAATGTTACTCTGTAATCATCCAAGACACTGTCAGCAAACGTCCCTTAGACATGTCATCTAGAGGTTAAGGATAACATTCAACTTAGAATATGTGTGGTGATCCCCTCGTCTCTTCCAGCCCATACTCAATTCTTCCCTATAATTACCAACCTGGTTTACTTGGTTTAGGAACCAGTCTTCCTCATCCCACTTTCTATCTCAACTCTCATATTCAGCATTTCAGCAAAGACTTCTCCCCACTCTAGACATTTTTAAAATCTGCCCACAGTTCTAGCAACAATCAGTTCTGATGCGTATGCTCAATGTCTTCTGAGAGTAAGTAACATACAGTCATGATGTCTCTGCTCTAGCTATTATCTTTATTGAGAAACACACATGTCTTTCTCATTTTAAGTAAAAGAATCATCAGTTATTTGGTCCATTGACATTAATTTTAGAAAAAGAAAGGGGCCAGTCTCTTCACATATCCACAAGCCCTCTTGACTAGAGCATGTTCTATTTGCTGTATTATGCTATACCTGGTTTACTTTTATTATATGGCTCAAATCATGACTCAAATTCCCCTTCTAGTAACACTTGACATGTCTGTGGAATTGTATTTTTAGACTATTTTTAACTGCTCTTTCTGTACAAGTATTACTTATCCTTATGATTACAGTGCAAGAATGTGTGCGAACCACCTTCTACTGTATTGAGATGGGCACACTCGTGCCTTTTATTATGCCTGCAGTGCTGTGTTATAAAAATAAGCGGATGATTTCACTCTCCACCCTCATCCACAAGGGAGATCCATTGGCCGTGATATTTTGTATCTGATCATCACACTCTCGTCGGTTGCTATAATGCCTGAAATATATTGTGCTATCGATGACGAGGTCCTGAAGGAAAGGTGGAAGGACAAAGGGAAGGGTGCTGATCATAGTACTTGATAGTGATATGGAAAGTTTGTAAAAGAAAATGTGTAGTAAATGTTTTTACCATTAGATATGATAGCATAGAGCCATTGGTAAGATTAATTTATGTATCATAAAAGGCCAAATTCTATAACTGAGTTTTCAGTTTTGGTGGTGGATAACTATGTAAGAACAGACTTCATAGGAAATGACTAAAATCCAGTGTGAAAATCCACAACTTTAGATTGGCTATCACGACTGTATCGAAATGTGTAGCTCACAGATCTGGATAATGTTGGTATGTGATGCTTATTTTATGTGCAAATTTTTACAATAAAGCTTGTAAAAAAATTTAAAAAACATTCAGAAGAGAAAGAAAATAAGCAAAGATGCCTTAAAAGTGAGTGAGTCAGAGAGGAGAGCCACCTACAAGAGGACACAATTGTGGTGGCCAGCAGACATAAGCAGCCTCCAGCCTTACTGGTATATAAGCAGAAAGGTTAACTTCCCACTCTCGCTGTCATCCAGCTGTACCTGCTGTGTCTGTTTTCATGCTATTCCTTCTGAGAAACTCCCCCCCCCAAAAAAAAATGACTAGATACCTCTGGACATGTTGCTCTAGTACCATTAGGGAGAGTATATTACTATACCACTGGTGGCTCTCATAGCTTCAGCAAGAATGTATCGGCTATCACTGCTCATATTTCACTGGGTGAAGCAAGTCATATGGTCAGATATCATGCTAATAGGATGAACAGACAGTTAATCAAAGAAATACAAAACACCAATAAATACAAGAAAAAATGTCGGTCACTAGGAATGTATTAAAACTACACTGAGATGCTATTTCACCTCAGTCAGGATAGTTGTGCTCAAGAAAACAAGTAACATCTCTGCAAGATAGTTTAGTGGATGGATAAAGGTGCTTGCTTGTGCAAACCTCCTGACATGAGTTCAATTCCTGGAACTTACTTAAAGGTAGATAGAGGCAGAACCAATTACACCAGTTAACCTCTGACCTCCACAAGTGTGGTATGGAATGTATGCCCCACTCCACATATCATACATACAGAGAGAGCGAGAGAGCGCGCGCGCGAGAGAGAGAGAGAGAGAGAGAGAGAGAGAGAAAGAGAGAGAGAGAGAGAGAGAGAGAGAGAGGTATATCCATTATTCAGTCAAAAAGGAAAACAGTGCTTTGAATGAAAATAGAATAGATGAAATAAGTCAGACTCAGCAAAATGTCACCTGTTTTCTATCATAACAGAATCTGGGAGAATGAGAAAGAGAGAGAAAAATACAGAAAGTACAGGAGTCTGCAGATGAAGAAGGGTCTTAGTGAAAGTGGACAGAGGGGAACAAGATTAGATAATAAAAAAGAAATAAGAACATTATACACTTTCCTTGTCTGTAGACTCTAGTTTTACTAAATATATATGTCAAGAAAAGGAGAGAGTAGTTTGAAGAAGGGAACCAGCAGGAGGAGGGTAAGAGGGAAGGATCCAGTTAAAATTCACAATTTATGTGTTTGAAATATCACAGTAAAGCCCATTTATTATTTGGAACAATGAATTTGCACTAAGAGTTTCATCGTGACAGTTGGGACTCTCTGGCAACCATGCACTGGGAACCGCACCCTGCTCAGGGTTTGCTTTCCTAGCTAAGACCTAGAGAAGTCACTTTTTTCTCTCTCCAACAATAAAACAAGTTGATCCTTCAGGCGAATGTACTAATTCCTTCCGAGAGCTTCATTTGCCTTTATCCTAAATGATGCTCTATGTCGTCTTACAATTCAGTGTGAATTAACTACAATTATGTTTCCTAGATACAATAATTGCCCAAATGCCACTAGTAATGAAAAAAAAATATTTGACCCACAGAAATGGGGATAGAGTCCTTTGTGGCAGGGATGTCATGGGATGGCAACAGTAACAGGAAGCTTGGCTAATCACTTTTTATCCTCACACAGTAAGCAGAGAAAGAGTAGAAAGTAGGGGTGGGCTCCACATGTTCCAAGCCCTCCCTCAAGGACATACTTTCTCCAGCAGGGGTCTTCTTCCTAAACTTTAATAACCTTCCCCATAGCACCACCCACTAAGGACCAAGTGTTCAAATGTATAAGGAGTGTTGTCTTTAAAACCACTGCACTGCGTTTGGCTTGGGTGATTCAAGCTTGCTTTCACCCTTCAAATACACTCTGGGCAGGATTTTCTTTGCCTTTGCTTCTTTGTCTTATTTTTAGATCATGTTTCTAGGACCTTTCCATTTGTCTATGTTAATGGACTTTTGTTGTTTTAGGGTTTTTTTTTTACTGTACATTTTATCTTTTCTACTAAAAAAAAAACCCTGTGAATAGCAATATCATTAGTAATAAAAATTAATCTAATTCCAGTGATGGAATCAGACTATTATACATGCACTTTCATTACTGAGAAGAGTCCCCACATGCTACCTTGTAACCTGGGGTTTCCCTTTCTGTACTGTGTTTGTCTATTTCCTTAATTAACCATGGCAAAGGAAGTTTCACTTTACCAAAATCTCCATTCAATCCATGGCAATAATGTGCTCTATGATTTACTAGTACTCTGATTAAAATGGATGTATATTATAGAAAATCTGTACAAACAAACTTAAAAAGATCAAGCTTAAAATAATTTTAAAACAGATATTATTATAAATGCATATTCATACATAATGAATACCTGTGATTACTGTTTTTCTCTCATATGAGATAATAAAATTTTAATATACTATTACATAAATTTCAAATATGCTTAAATAGCTTTATGATTCTCTTACACAGAAGATCTATGAAATATCACTGTAATATACTCAGTTTTACTGTTTGTTACAAATACTGGGGTCATAGTTTTGTGTGGAAATCTGTGTCAGTATCATTGTTTGTTTTATGAAAATGTATTAGTGGTAAGATTTCAAAACCCTTAACATTTTTATAATGCTATGTTCTAGAAAGATTGTTTGATTATTTTAAAGACTGAGCAGTGCTTGCTCTAGTATCATAAAAAAATGAAGTTTTAAACTCCATTTATTTGATTACCACTAAGGTTGAATATTTATACAACTTCCCTACAATTCACAGTTTATTAATTATTTATGGACATTTCCCAGGGTAAAATGAAGAAGTTAAGTTTCCAGGAACCAAAGTTTCTTTCCTAAACACCCACAGCTTTGTGCAGTTGGAATCTGTATAGAAAGTTCATTTTGTATATTCGTGTTCAAGTTTTTTTCTTACTTATCAAATTATTTTCAAGTTAATCTGGCTTCAGTTTAGCTGACATTTAGTGAACATTAAAATATACTTAGTATATTGGTATAGAAGCAACAATTTCAGATATGAAAAGTAATGTTAAAACCCAGGCAGCAGGCATGCTAATGAACCATGTGTTCCTGCCTCCGTGTGCACACACACATACATGCACATTTTATGTGTTTTTATGTTGTAAGTAGGATAAGCAAGCACTACAAACCTAGAAGCCAATGTGACAGATAGATATTAAGTCATTTTATGATATTTTGATTCAGTTGAGAATAAAAATACATGAAGGGAACTAAATACTGTATACTGGTTAGGTTTCTACAGCCCTTACCTAAAAGTAGACTTATCGAGGAAGAGGGAATCTCAACTGAGGAACTGCTTTGATCCGGGCATGTGGGCATGTCTGTTTGGAGTTTTCCGACTTGCTGACTGATGGAGTACAGACTCCTCCACTGTCGGTGGTGTCACCCTGGACTGGTGTTGGGAACTAGCCTTGACAAAAGTACCTCTTGCCAGGGTAGAGGGTGTGAGGATCAGAAACATAGTAAAGAGGACAAATACAAAAATAAAATAATAAAACAGTAAACATTGGGTAGTATCAGGAGGGAGTTTGGGTGAATAATAAAATCTCCACATTTAATTTTCCATACGCCTTTATACCCCAATACAAAGGGGGGAAGAAGACAACAAAAGACTTC